CAACGATATTACCGGGCTCAAGTATATCTGACCAGCACTAATAAATATCAGTGTGCTTCGGTTCTCAACCAACCCACTTGTGCTGCTCACCCCCCCCCATTGCTTTTCCTTCTACAAGAGATCTTGCTTGCATCAGATTTGTATATTGAAGATCGATGATGTAAACAAAGAAGTTCACATACGACTCGTCGGACTGACTGAGACAAGAAGGCTTCGCCCGCTGCACCAGGCGTCGCCCTTACTCCATCAACTGTGTATTTTAAAGGCACAGTTCACGATAAAAATGGTTCCCGCGATTTCCCTATAGTATGTGAGTTCATGACAGCGATAGACATTACACAAGTATTTGCTGATCGATGAAGGCAAGCATTATTTACTTCACCGGGGTTCATTTTTCGAGTGCACAAGCCAAAGCCAGGACATGTTGGCCAAGAGCGAAGTCGAAGATGATGTAGAAGTAGATGTGGTTGTACAACTGTTCACATCCGGTCATTGTATACTCCACATAAGCATTCAACAGGCCACTGCGATTGTGAGTGCAAAACGGCTTCGAGAACGCTTTGCAAGGGAGTGATGAATCCGGAGCACTTCAGCTTCTTAAGATTCTTAAAAGGATCACGCAATTATAACTGCAGTCATAGCTCGCATGCTGAGTGTGCAATAGAAATGACTATAGTAATGAAGTTTGCTCTTCAACATGAGTTTCAGCTCCACTACATGTATCAGTTAGCAATAAAGTAAAGTTACTCTACACATCAGAAAAGAGGTTACTCTACACATCACTAGCAGTGATTACGTGCTTAAAAACGCTATAGATCGGCGTTGATCGGAATGACCGTGGCAAATAAGACACGTATGTGTATTACAATCCATGCTGTGCAAGTGCCATTGCTAACATCATTCAAATTACCTTTCGAGCTTCCTTCTGAGTGCTACTAATTAAGTTTTGCGATGTGTTATCCATATTACTTCTTTTGTCGTAATCATGGGAACTTTTGCGCATTTAAAGCAGAAACTTGGTGTGTCGGTTTGTTTGTTTGTCGGTGTGTCCGTCCGCAATACTTATGATCAGTGTCGAAGTACCGCCATTACAGTACAGTAGAGATCACAATTTGAATCATCCACCTCAATTCATATTACTCACTTCACTCCGCAGTGCTCACTTTACTCCATTAGCCTACCCACAAAGTGACTGCTTTTTATATAAGAAGAATAAGTTTTCCATATCACTACCTTTATCATAATCACAAAGTAACCCGGACGGACAAACCGACAAACCGACATACCGACATACCGACATACCGACAAACCGGCAAACCAAGTTACTGCTTTATATATAAGAAGGATTACGATAAAGGTAGTGATATGGATAACTCAGCTCTATCCTACATTCCTCTGCATTTCTTCACTTACAGGGGGGGGGGGGGGGGGGGGGGAAGGGCATTTCTAACTGCTCTGTAAATTTAAGGAATGGGGGCCCGGCGTAGGATGGGCGACCCAACTGGTATATATGTATAAACAGACAAACAAAGTGGCACAGCAAGTTACTGCTTTGCTGATTGCATAAGAAGGATACTTCCGTTAACAATAAGGGTGAAGCTTCGTGCTACTTTACAATATCTCAGAGTTTCAGTGCTACGTCTATATACATTTTCATTTCGTGGAAAATTAAATGAGATTGGCCTCGCTTCCCGTATGGCATAAATCAAAATATACGCTTTACTTTTCTAATTTTTTATTTTTTACCTTATTGGGAGTAGGCGGAACAGGTACGTTCCCCTTGGCGTCCTCAACCATTGCGCCAAGTTGATTCTCCTCTTTATCCTTCCCTTTCACGGGCTCTGTGTCCTCCTTGGCGATTCCCTCACCAGCCGTTTCGTCATCTACTGGCGGAACGGCATTCGCTGCTTCGTCGGCATGCGCATCAGGATCCTGGAACGACACCAATCATATTGCGAAACATGCACTTCAACAAAATTCTGGACGAAAACCTCTACTCGAGAACAGACTAAAAAAGACACACAGGCTCTGTTCACTGTTTAAAGGAGCAGTTCACGATAGAAATGTTTTCTAACCAGAGAAGGGTTTCAACTTCCCATGGAACTTTGCCTAGAGACCTAGGTATATTGATAGGGCTTGGAAAGTTATTAATTATTACCAAATCTTACTGTGTTCAGGTACCGCTCAATATTGTTCAGTGTTCAACGGTTCATAAGTAGAAAAGCGACGCCTTTCTATATATACCCGCAAAGATCATTACAGTACTTGCACTTCACCGCTGTGAACAGAAAACGGTAAATAATAAATATGCGCAGAGAAAAGGGGTCCTAGTTCGGAAAGAGCATGAAGTTGCGGTGAGGAAATAACCTTATTGGTGTTACATTACCTCTTCTCCTTTTCCTCCTTCATCTTGTTCATTACGATCCTCAAATTCTGGGGCAGCCACGCTCGGAGTTGTGATGTTCCGGGCACGATATACCTGAAAGCAACGGTCATTAAGGCAACCATTGCCAACCANTGGGTAGCCGAGGAAGTGCAACTGAGTATGAAATTCCAAAGGAGGTTAGCATTAAAAGAGGTTAATCGCTCACAACTGTAACAGGGACCGAGCTGTTCATCTGTTCAGGATTTTCCGACCGAATGGAATGGTTTCGTTCCGCCTCTGCAGCCATCCCGCTTACTTTATCAAATAAAATTGTTTAGAATTACAATCAGGTGACATATATATATCCGAAAAAACAAAATCTTACCACCAGACGACGTGGTGCCATTTAATGACAATATCGCTGGTTTCTCAATCGATGTAGCAGACCTTTTCAGCGGTGCAACAGTCTTTTCAACTCTTGTGCGAGCGTCCCGTAGTAAGGGTGGCGGTACTTCTTCAACAGAACGAAATCCTGAATAAGCAATCTACTGGCACTGATATTAACTCAGACAGCCGAACCCATCGATGCATTCGGGGTACGGGCTGACCTGTTTCAGCAGAGGAATTTGAGAACATTGTTACTCGGATAAGCTCCCACTTTACAGGTCACGTGTACTAGTGTGAGATTCTAGCCTAGGACCCGTTCGATTCACAGAATAGCAGATTCCTACTATGACTTCTACTTTTGTGTTAATTTCGGTAGTCCTCTAACATGGACTCGGCAAGGTGAACAACACATAGGTGGCATAGTAAATAATCACTTCTTTTCAACGAAAAAACTGTAATAAATAACTGTCAGAGCAGTGGAATAAGAGGAAATGTGACAGCAAATATGAATAGCGTACTTAAATTCAGGAGCCGCTGCACCTGGAATGACGGGTGAATCAGCCGAGGCATGGCCTGTCAGTTAATGCAACAGATTGACGCATTTGGGGAACCCACTTACAGTCAGACATAATGAATAAAATTCTTAACCTCATTCCAGACTGCAACAGTTGTGCCTTCGGGAAAGCTCTCACGAACCAAGGAGGTTTGCCAGAAGTTTTATTATTAGGATGCGAGTTATCACCTTAACAGCAACATCCCCAGAATTAGTCCCTTTCGTTTTATTCGAAAAATCTTTCGGCAGTTCATCTCTAGGAAAAGACTTCGATAACCAACTCCAACATTTGATGGAAGTTCTTGAAAAGTACATGTTTTCATCTTTTCGATCCTACGAGATGCTTTACTGCTTTACGAAACCAAAACACAGCTCAAAATATTCTGAGTACTCGCCTCATTGCTCGGAAATCCATATTGTTATATAACGACCAAAAAGAAAACCATTGCGATGGAAGCAAAAAAGAAGCAAGGGAAATATGATGTTGTCAATAAAAACAAAGGGAATATGATGTTGTCAATGTCTTATCTAAATTGAAAAGTACCAATCCGTTCCTCGACTTTGGCTACATTCGTTGTCTCTAAACGAAATTCGGTTTGTAGGATGAAGGTACGGTGTTCCCGGGAAATACAGGAAGCCGCAGCACGGAATTGAGGAAGGCCATACAAAGCAGAGAATACATAGAAGACTAAAATCGGGGATAAGACGGCTACAAGACGTAGACATCAACTGCGTAAGACCCGAGCTATGTCACCTGATGATGAGACTTCTGCGCAAATACACGTAGAAACTCAACAAGCAAGCTATTCTCGTCGGACATTTGGAATTATGATACAAATTACTGGGGTAGATGTTCGATGAAAATCCTTTCCCAACACCAAAAAAAGTCCTTTCACAGCGGTTGTTCATTTCTCTCTGTTTATTCACTTTGCGAAATTAGGGGATTTCTCAGGTTTCTGCAATGGTTAGGGCAAAGAAGCTATAGAACAACGCAACACAAAAGTATGGAACACCGCTCTCTTGTGTTAAAAGGGCCCCAACAGAAGGTGGTACCACTGGTATAACTGGTACCAATCCCGTCAGAGGGGATAAAATCTCACACTGATTAGCGTCACCAGGTCATTTTATGTATAGGCCTGATACGCGCTCAAAATTTACAGAATAAAACAGAATAAAGCTGTACACAACAGCTGCATAAGCCTTTTGAAATGAAGGGTTTTATTCGAAAGATGCCGTCAATCTTATAGCGAGATTGGTCTCGAGTAAGTAAGGAGAATCCCACTAAAGTCAGCACATGATGAAGTTCTTCGCTTTGATCCATTAAACGGAAATTCGAGGAATTACTTACCTTCAACTGAGAACAAAAACGTAACTGCCAAAACTGCTATTCGGACACGACAATCCATTGTGTCTGAAAGTTTCGATCGTGAACATACGGGACAATGCTTGCGAATATTTCTAAGCCAAGCAGAATACCTTTACTCGTTGCCAATTGTATGGGTTTGCTACCAATAACTCAAGGTATCGACTTATCCAAACTTATGTACCCGTTAAAATGCTAGCACTATTAAAGGATCATGATCTATTCTTATGAAGCCTTGGTACGGAGCGTGTGAGAAAGGGTATGTCACGTTTCGAAAAACGGAACATGCGCAGCCACATCGGAAACTGCGGCAACTCAACGTTGTTTTACTTTTCGAACTCTTCCATAATCGTATCTTCATAGTTTCGCTGTTAACTACTCATCTGAACCTAGCTGGGGAATGACACTGTTGGCTGAAACTGGACCACCACTGCCTACTGTCATCTGTGTGATTTGTGCAGACATTATTTTACGAGGAACTGAGACATATGGTTACTCCTAAAATTTAGATTGCTAACACTAACTATATGAGTAACCTTAAGCCTCGCGAACAAGGTTACACTGTTGTTTTTTAACTTCAAAAAAAACCGTACCTTAAAGTAATCTTGGATCTGAACCCTGAAGATTTGAAGATGAAAATTACTATTATTTATTACATGACCTTTAAAACAATCAAAATAATTATTAATATGTACAATTACAATTGCTCAGACACTAACACAATTCGATACGAACACAGTTTAGGAAGATAACAAATATTCGTTACGAGATCATTCCCTATTTATGCAGTGTAACATCATACTGCAATCGTGGATTGGAAGTGAGTCTTTGAACTCAAATTATCCACGAATAGAAGAAGTTTGGTGTATGACAACGTCGGCTTACACAGTAAAAAATGAGCTATTGCCTATTATACAAAGCTCATACACTAAACATTTGTACAAGTAGAACCAAAATCGATTGTAATAGTTAGCAATCAAAAGAAGTTATGAGTCGGCTCTTCGAAATGTGCGGAACTGTGAGTGTGGTGCGCTAGAAAGCTTGCCTTAAACGGAAAGGGAAGGGGGTTAGTTCGCAGAGGCAATAATGCATAAAAAGCAACAAAATATTGTTGTTACCAAGGCCACCACCTCAGCTGTTTTTCTAATACTTTTATGAAGTTCTCTACGCATTATGAAACGCACAAGGAATCTAAGGTTTCAATAACCTGGAAGAATTGGGTGCCCTAAAGTTAGCCGACACAACTATTCAGAAGGATTTAGAATAAGAGAAACTACAATACTGACACTTTACCAACACCGGATGTTTGAAAATGAATGTGAAATGAATATGAAGACTCGTTTGAAGAAATTCTGATACTAAATCAAATTTACACAATTACAATTAATCAACAGAAAATTTTTCACAGCAATCCAATTAACATGCACTTTGATTCTTAACCATTTCAACATTCGAATAGCAGTTCGAATTTCTCCAATTCCGCTGTGTGGGCCGACCCATAAGCTCAATAATTTAATAAATATTGAAAGAATGAAGCCCCATAAGATGGTAATATTACGGTTAGCAGGAGAAAAAAAGGTTAGTTCTATATTATAAGTATCGTTTCGCGTATTTAAGGGGTAGATGAATCCACGTCTGAGGTAGGCCCGTAAATAGTGGGATGTGACGAGAAAGTATCTTGGGGCAGAAGGAAAAAATAAAACTAAACTCGTTATGGATAAACCTGTACGAAATGAACGACGCTCAATAGTTGGACAATAAATGAAAATTGAAAGGCCAGTAATACCAGAAATCGCAACACATGAGAAACAAAACAATTTCAACTCGAGGACACTGTTATAAAGCATCGTCGAACAAAACTTGTTATAAATAATCACAGAGAACTATTTTCAAACAGAGGTGACAAGAAATAAAGAGGTGGCGTCTATTTACTTACTATTTTTTCGGTACTTGTGGAGTCTTTTATAAAGGGAACCGTAGTGTTGACGAGCTTTGCGATTGCGCCTACGAAGTGCAGCGCGCAAAGTGGGCAGCTCCGTGTTCGTTGGGACACGACGAGTTGGAAGATCGCGATACATATTCACTCCCAATCGAAACAACTGTAAATCCTAGGTATCAACACTTTTCAAAACCAGTTTTTGAGTGGAAGTTAGCAACTCAGTAACGTGAAGAAGAAAGTTTCAGTCAGTAACGTGAAGTATTCAATAATGTAAGAGAAAAAAGAAACAAAACTGGGAGAATGATTGTTTTCGCCTCTTAATTTTACAATCATGTTTTTACGCTATTTCCCGAGGCTCACAAGTGAATGTTTCACAACTGTGTCATCAAACTACAAAATCGTCACTTAAAATTCAGTACCCACTACCAGAAACACCAGAACTATCGAACATGAGAACAATTTAATTGGTAAAAGTAAGCAAAGTCAAAATAGAATCCTACTATACATAAGAGGTATGGGAATGCTGATGGGAGGTGACTCGACTGGTCACCGCCCGCAATGGGCAGTTTATGGGCGATAATTGTTAATTTGGACGTAGAGCGTTCAAATTTGGTACGAGTACAGGCGGCAGGATTAAGTCACCTAGGTGGTAGCAAGTGTGCGTGTATGAGTGAGCATATGTGTATAAGTGTTTATATGGGTGTATGCGTGTATATGTCTATACGCATGTATGCGTATGTGTGTACGCATGTGTGTAATTATGGGCGCATACGTGTGTATATACGCAATAAACCTGGTAGGATGGGAGATAGAGCGGGCAGACATGTGTGAAATGGGCGCAACCCGAGCAACCTTCGCATTTTTTGACCATGCACTGTCTGTTGAGATCGGGAATAAAATGGTATTTCTGCATATGATAGGAATGGGCACGGGATTCGGGATAAGGTCACTGGATAGAATGATCAGCCCCTATCAATTATTATCACTTTTGATCACATGCCATCAACGTTCCCATCCTGCCCCTGTCTCCCATCCGAATTTGATCGCTATAAGTGCAGGGGGTTAGGAGTTATGAATTTTGGTGAAAATCTATATAGCGCACGCCCCGCCCTCTAAGCGGAGTCTGGCTTTGCTACCTGCCATAAGAGTTCCCACCCTGCCGCTTGTACTCCTACCAAATTTCAACGCTCTAGGTCCACGGGAACAGAAGTTATAAATTTCCGGTCAAACACACACGCACCGACACACACGCACAAACACAGAAACACCGCCAAACCGCGAGACACACTTAGCGAATTATATACAGTAGGCCACTGATAGTGGAAATACAATAGGCGAAAAAGCCAAAAGCTATTTCCTTCGAAATCTAAAAACACGACGCTTCTCTGTCTTATCAACCCCCAACGGCCACTTAAAAGGAAACGAGTGAATAAAGTATTTTCTCAATTCATTTTGGAATAGAGAATAGCAGGTCGTTTACCGTTCTCGCCATTGTAACTACACAAACCCAAAGATGTAAAACAAAAAATGAATGTATCCAATAACAAATTCCTGTTTAGAAAATACATAAGACCCACATCGGTATCAGCATCATCCAGTTGTTTTGAAGTCTCCCAGTAGGCGAATTCTCCCCGAATTTTACTCCAACAGTGCGAAATAACCCCGCGTAGTCTCGGTTCCAGCTCTTGCAACTCCATTTGACAACGAAGTAACTCTTCCGAAACTTCATCCTATAAGAATTCTGGGATCACATACGACTAAGAAAGACACAACCTACATAACAAAAATATACCAAATCCGAATCGTCATCATCTTCTTTTCCTTCACGACTTAGGGTCACCTCGCGTAGAAGTGCATTCGTGGCAATCTCACGATAAACGTGCTCTGTCGATGATGGTATCAAACCTAAACTTGATATTGTCATTCGATAAAAAAGAATGGACGTTTTGTTAGATGGGAAGCCGTGGGATCTCGAATTACCGAACGCGCGAAACTAGCAGAACAACCATTAACATATATCAAATGTTGAGAAAATGCGTAGGGCCTAACCTCTTTCTATAAGCATTTTCACGATGCGGCTTCCAATCTCCCGATAATGCCGTTCAACTTCCATTTCTTCAGGAAGACTAGACATGGCTGATGAAGCTGGTGAACTCAGATTGCAAGGAGCATGCACTCCGTTCTCCCGCTTAGTCTTAAATTTCAATCTTTCCAATGATATTTTGACGAATTATGATAAACTTATTACAGAAATCATTCTTGAATAATGAGACTGCTTCCTATTTTTAATTCATATAAAAATTAGAACGAAAGAGAAGTCCGAATGCTATACCTCGCCATTCCGCCTTGGTCTCGTTCTTAGTTCACCATTACACCGTCCATTGGTGGGAGTACATCCCGAAAAAGAGTCGCTAGGACCTGGGCGATCCCAATCTTCATCGTCTTCTCTAGACTCCTTTTTGACTCTTGGGGAGTGCACTGAAAAGGGAAATGCGACTAGTTTTGTCGAGTAACAGTGATCCGTTAAATTCACTTCGTGTGGTAGGAGGGGATCGCGTAGCAAATCCGTTAACATGGAGAGCCCCGTGAAGCTCACCGACGGAAGAATCATGTCCAGTAGATTCCCACGGCTCGTTCTTCACATGAACTGCAACGTCAATAAGTGAAAAAACGCTAGTATTGGTTACAACTCAGGATAAACTAACATTTTCTGTCATCTTCGCAATCATCACGCGAGTGCAGTTTGATAGAAGATCTCCGGTTTGGCGTTGTGAAGTCTTCTTTGCTCATCTCACGTGTGGCGGCACAAACCACATCACTAATCAATGGTGCCAACTTCGAATCAGAACTTCTGGTTGGTCGAACATTCAAAGTCCCAGAGATCTTTCGGTTAGATGTTTGACTGGAATGAACGATGTTAGAAAGATACATTTAGATCTAGTCTACCCTATTCCTCACAGATCCGTTCACCTTTTCTCTTCTTTCTCTTTGCTCCTTTTCTCAGTCAAGTGCGCATCCGAACTGAGCCGTCGTGTGGCTCGTGAACTCAATGATTCCTGAGAACTGATGCGGGAACGGCCACTCTGCCGCTTACGATGCTTCCAAGGCTCTGAAAAATACCTCGAATACATTCGAACCAGTGTGGTTATGCACAATAACTCATGCGTCACAGTGAAAACAAAGCCGCTTCACTCTCCGACATTCATGAGGTGTCAGAGAGAGTAGATGATGAAGATAATTATAATTGATAAAATTCCATAAGTTCAAAGTAAAAGTGTCATTCTCAACCTCTCGAACTTTACATGAATATTTATCTTGTAAGATGTGTTTTTACTTCATACATTTCCTTCTTCTTAAAACGTAAACATGCAACACTTCATAATTCTCATTAGTAAATGATCCCATAGCGAGTGGCCTTGTACAATGAAAAATATACAACAGGAGTGCTAATGAGCACTGATCTCGAGTCAACTCTGATATGCAGAATGGGCTGCAATGGTTTTTCCCCAGTACTTTAAGCACAATACAAAAAAAGATATGCTCATGATAAGGAGTAGTCGTCAGTTGCCCAACAGTTGATAGGGCGCCTCTTTATTTGAAATTAGGCCGTTTCTCGAAATCAGGAGCAGTTCCGGCGAGCACGAAGGCCCTGGACAGAGCCATAAATTGACGCCACATGAAACTAAGTTGATAGAAAGCACTTTTGTAAAGCAGGGGGTAGGTAGTGAACTCCGTTGATATATTATTCACTTGATATATTGTTCCTTATTCACTTGTGATATGTTTGTGATAAAACCATAAAACCGTTTAAAAATGGCATAATGAACTTGTTACTCATTTTCAATATCATTCTACGAAAACCACAAATCAGCCTTCTCCATTGAAAGTTTTTTTTNTTTTTTTTCTTCGTTGAAAACCTGAAATTCTATGAACCGATGCCACCGCCACAATCCAAAAAAAAGGGCAAAGAGTGTGTCACAGATTGAATGCAATCATGCTTCTTTCCGCTGTGCCGCTGACCCAATCACTTTGTGACTGGTGCTTCAAGAAAATTCGCTGAACATATTCACGAATCAACGGTATTTCTAAATGCGATCTAATTCCCGCGCTTATGCTTGGATGCAACTTGAAGCGCGCCTACTAGGCAGTAAGCTATTCACAGTCCTTATCCCTCTACGCTCTCATTTTTAAATATCGTCGACTCTTCCACGCGAGTCGCAAGCGCAACTGCCGCGACGCGAGTGGGCACTTTTAGATTACAGCGACGTGCACTGAAAACAAAGCGTTGCTGGGCTTACGCTGACAGCGCTGGTTATCGTCTGTTGACAACGCTAGACACCCGGCGATCCACGACGTTCGCGCCGCCGCTGATGGCCTTCGCGCTGAACGTGTCACTTTCCAAGTCCTGACCAAATCCGTCAGCGGCTGCGTAGACATTGTCAACCGACGTCCTCGGCGCGTTCATAATCATGTTGTCATCAGACAATGCCCAACGCTGTCAGCGTGTATCCAGCAACGCTGCGTCTTCAGCGTATATCGCTGTACTTTTACTCCCACTGGTTTGGATTACATTTGTAACATACCCACTTTTTTATATGCTTTTTATATGAAGAACACTTAACAAGTAAGTGAAACACATATTTGTTCAAAAACTGCTCACTTTATACATCCTGCTTCTCTACAATCGGAGACAAAACAGTCAGTGGCTGCTTTCAAACTTCAACGATTCAATCGACATCAGCCCGTCCGTCCGCTGACTCTTCCACGCGTGCGTGCGACGGCGGTCTTAGCCACTTGGCGACAACACTGGCACGTGATCCAGTGTTGTCAACAAGCGGCTAGCCGTCGCACGCACGCAACGCGCCGGACGGACGTCGGTTGAATCGTTGAGGTCTAAAAGCAACCAATCGCCTCAAGGTTGTACAAATATTCGCCAGGAGTGAAACAGAACCTTGGGTTTTCATCAACATATCCTGCATTGTACCGAGAGAATTTCAAGATGTTTGAAAAACGAGGTTCACACAACAATCGATATATTTGCGAAGAAGCCTTCAGATATTGACCCTCTGTGCCATATTAAATTCCGCGTCATCGTGGCTTTGGTTCGAATCTTCTTCATGTTGTTTTTCGTAAGAGCGGATAAGAAGACTAATGTTTGAATAATTGCATAGCATCGGCAGGTAGCCTAGCGAGTATATGTTCAATCTTGAGACCATTGACTGTTTTGCCTCCGGTTTTAGAGAAGCAGCGTGTATAAGGTGCAGTTTATGAACAACATGTACTTTACATGTTTGTTAAGGCTTTTTTCAACAGTGTTTAAACCCTGTAAACATCTTATACATCTCTGGATCTTTCTCTTGAATGTTTCTTAAAGTTTAAAATAGACTAGTATCATAAAATTTACGTGCCAAATCATTCCGTCCTGAAAAGATGCGAAAAGCACAAACTGAAGCAGAAACAATGCGTTCACATGGACTTATGTTGGAAAATGCATTTAAATTTTGATGGAACAAGGACACTCTGCAAGAATCCCGACGATGGCGAGGAGCAAAACCTGCACCCTCCTATGCCTGTGAAGCGAGAGCACTATTATGTATTACGTCGGCGCTTGGTGTTAAGACGACGCGTTCACATTTTTAATAACTTCACCCTTAATACGAATTCCAAGCCCCATAACTTTTTGGGGGAAACTATTTTGCATGTTTGACTTTCATATTCGTAAACGGCATTCAAAACTCCATCGACTTACCTGGTTCTCCATTCTATGTTCCATGGTAAGTAAACTACCCCCTCTTGTAAGTTATCCGTGCATAGAGATATCAGTTGACCGCAGAGCATCCCGAATGACTCAGACACCATTTTGTGTACGAGATCTCCCTTTAGGAGTACCTAGTGGCCCGCAACGGTAACAGGAAGGACGCTGCCGGGTCCCAAAACTCAACAGCTAGGAGGGCATAGTAGGAGCCCAGTGAGCGGATCGCCCGGATGCCCTTCTTCTCGGCCGATGACGTATCGAACGAGTGTCGAGGCGATACAGACTGCAATATTCGCGCCAGGACCCACACATTCAGCACGCAATCAGCTCGATCGCTTAGTGATGATCGATTTTTTTCTTTTCTGTTATTCTCTGTTATTCTTTTTGCCCGCGATCCTTATTTTAACTTTCTACCTCATGAGGCTGAAAAAGGTGGCCTTTTTTTGTTGTTACTGAGTTTTTTGTAAAAGTACGAGTGAAAGAATTTCAAAGGACATTTTTTTGCTTACTGTAGTCAGCTATTCGCACCAGGACCCTCACGTACGCAATGACACACATTGTATAGCTCGTCCAAACGCGCCATTCTTGTGGTCTAGTCTCGTCCAGCCCCCATTTTTATGATATTTTAGGAGCTTTTTTCACTTTGGAAACACAGATTCACACACTTTCTTCACCCTCATCGCACTATTTTCCATCTTATCTTCCATTTTTCGTCATAATCTGAATTACCAAAAACTATCGTAAACTCTGCCTTCAGGGAACTGTACTTCCAACCTTTGAACAGAAAAAAGCCGTATGAGATCAAATCGTTCAACGAAATTTGATCAAATTACCGGATATCAAAGTGAATAGAATAGAGAAACCTGCGTGCTAGTATTCGGTTCCATGTTCTATTGGTACTCAAAAAAGTCTCTTGCTTTCTAACCCCACATTCTACAAATTTCCATCCTATACTGCTTTCACCATTCATATTCTCTTGACCGCTAAAAAGCTCGATCCCCAGGTACGCCATCTAGTCTGCCGATGTGGTTCTAGATTGAGACATCCACTGTTTTCTGAAATAACCATCTCCCAGTACTTCTGAACTCCTGGTGGATGTTTGGAGGTGAAGCCAGAGCACACTGATTTTGGACGAGGCTATGACTCTCTACAACGTAAAGTAGAACTGAACCTTCATTATTAATTACGATCCTTAACAACCCTCGTCTCCCCTCACACAAGCTATAAAGCAGGAGGTGAGGGGAGAGGAAGGTCATCCTTATTGATAGATTTCGGGAGAAAAGGGAGAGGACTGACGTTTCAGCTTACTTGCAACATACTATGTGTTGTATCGAATAGAGCCGTCATGTCTCTCTTTCTTATACTTTTTACCACGATCTACCAAAACCATTAGCAATGAATAATCTCGTCGGAGGACGAGGAAAAAATTACCGTTAACGTAGTAGTACTTCAGTTCCTCGGGAGTATACTTGTCCAAGAGCAAAGTTTTGAAGTTCTTCAAGTACTCAGCATCTATGGGGGTGAGAAAATCGGCCTGGAAAAGCAAGATCAAGGCAGAACACAAAACAAGTAGTTCTTCTCATTACAACCTTGCACCATGTCCAGAAACGCTGAGGAATATGGTGTGGAGGCCAAATATCAACGTCATCTTCAGTATCATCTTCTGGTAGACTACATAGACTAAACAAGAGGTAAAAAATATTGTCTCAATACTGAACAAGGGAGGCAAGATTGTGCCAAATGCAAAGTGCCTATTAGAGTGTTCAGAAAGAATCTGCCAAAAATTTCAAATTAATGCGAAAACATATCAGGATTTCATCTTCACGGCTCTGAAGCGTTGGAACGAGGTATGCATAGGACCGTCCTATATGGGCTTCAAGGTCAAATACTAGTCACAAGCTCCGATGTGTTCAGCAGACCAATGGTCGGATTCGAAATTATTAAGAAATACGTCTCAAATATTGGGGGGCCAAACGAGGGAGAGAGAGCCGGCTATGACACGCACATTTAAGAAGGTGCGTGTCATAACCGGCGGAATGTGCGTGTCCTTACATAGCAATTCTATCAGTACTTTCAAAACTATTTTCGGCAGATACTTTCTGAACGACCTAGTGCAAAACGGTAACATACGTTTGTTGCAACTCTTTTGTTGTCGTCGGCGATACTGGCACAAATTCTCGGAGTTTGTATGAAGGCATTGGTCTAAATATTCAAATACTTAAAAATGCACAAAAAATATGGACTAAGGATACCCATCCAGGTGAGATGCGTACTCCGAACTAGTTTGAAGAGTTTCAGCAAACGAAAAGCCACTAAGGTTGCCCCAAATCTTCGAAATTTAAAATTAAAATGAGAGAAGAAAGGTTAAAATGAAATTTTCTGTAACCAATTTGTGCGGTAGGAAAGCACCCGAGAGTTTTCAAGTGCCCTACTCCATGTAGCGGGACCGTTGGTCACTAACCTATATCATCACTGTATTCTCATTGAGCCCATTCATATTCACATGCCAACCTCTACTTTTCAACGGTTCTTCAACCTTTCCAGCTTTGCTTTCTGAGATTGTAGTGAACTTCTATTTGTCAACTATTGGAAGCAACGTACCGTGTCTTCAAGTCCTGAACAGGGTAATCCCCCGTGTTTAAATACGTAACTTCTCCATGAGCACGTCTGAGATAATCAGCAGAATGAGCTAGCATACTTTCCAACTCGTGCTGAAGACAAAGCTGAAAATGTTACAATATTAGAAGCTTCAGGAAACAGTTTCATGTTTTCTTGAAATCGCTTTCTATGTGTCCGTTTATTAATATAGGTTTAAACCAGAAATGCTCGTTTCGCTGGATCTAGACCGTGCGAATTTATGGGGCATCTGCGATCGAGAAGGAACTTCGGTAACGTTGAAAGGCAGTGGTGACAACAGATAACGGTTTATAAAATATTTTGAAAGACAAAATCGTTAGATTCATTTGTATTAACAAGGTCTCAATATTTTGGTATGAAATGAATCAATTGGGATTCTAAAAAAATGATTTCCATTTAGTTCCAGTTATATGATGAACATTATGCATCACATGTACGAGACTATGGGGACCACCTTTCCCTTTACTCCGATAACTTTACTTTAAACCCTATTCGATCTAAAATTTCGAAAATCTCTGGGAAACAATCAGCTGATCGTTGATAATACTACTTTTATTCCCAACAACATTAAATTGCATTGAAAAGCCATTCAAGACATTGATAGCTGTAAATGGTTCTTACTAATGATTGCTCGGCTAAAAAATGCCCTACGATATCTCGAAAGAAAGGAACGAATCGAATCCGGGGCGAATGATTATTGATCGCAAAAATCAAAAAACGGACCGAAAAAATCAGAACGAGGCTACATCGATCGTGCGCGTAAAGCTGCTGCACTGTATTGTTAACGCTAGACTCCCCTCCTTTACACCAAATTTGCATTGTTTGAGTGATTCCGAGCACCATGCCCTCAGCAATTTTCTAGAAAATATGATCGTGTCATTTTTAGTATGAGAGCAACGGCCGGTTAGCAAAGCATGCCCATTTTGTTACCTGAGTATTTTGCAATAGCCGGGCGATCCCACTGATAGATCGAAATTATAAACCTATTAAGACCGAAACAGCCCTTTGGAAGCTCCACCACAAGGAATATTCCGTAAAGCGAGGTTCGAACACGATCTGAAGTCTCATTCTGGCCTTTCTNTTCATAGCAAAAGCCCAAGCGTCCTCTTGGAAAGCCTAATGTTGAATAGATTAATGGCACTTACAAGGTCATCCCTATCGAGAATGATATCCTCCGTGTTCTTCTCCAGCAATTCTCCAAGTTTTGGGCAATGCCTCTCATACGAGAACGGAATGAATTCCGGTGGTGGTTTGACCTCCTCACTACTGTTAGAGGACTTGCGACGAGTTGGCGATGGGGTGCCTGAAGGTTGAACTTTGTGTACCGAAGTCTGTATATACATTGGAATTCAAATAATTTTTTTCACATTCAAGTGACAGCTCAAAAATTTCTTCACAGTCAAGTGACAGGAGTTCACCCAGTGAATATGAGTGGCTCAATACTCTCCGCTATGGTTCTGCATCATGGAATTGGATTAACCGGCACAAATATACCGCTCAAAACAATCGGTGATACAGTTCCTAATAAAGAACGGTAGAGGGGGACATGACAACCTGATGACGGGACATATGCGCCCGTTCTACTTCAGAAAGCTGCATCGATTACACGAAAATCTAACAGAACCTTAACCAACCCAGTCTCTTCCGTTTTGAGCGTGGCGATTTCAACGTCGTTTCAGCGCTTGCTGGTGAAAAAGTGGAACGCCGTTTTGGCTTCATCTGCAATAAATCAGTAAGGTAATGGTGAGACGTACTACTCCACATATTTTTCTATAAATTCAGGAAAGAAAGACGACATAGCGCTGGAACAAAAGCGTGAGGAGCGGCGTGACCGGGTGCCAGTCGGCCTCGGACGCTGCTACGCGGCCCAGCCATACTATCGATCGATTCTCATCGTGGCCACAGCCGAACGACTGTATGGGAAAATTCGAACCCAACGCTAACTAGCCTTTTGATCCTATCCTGGGCTCCGACTAGCACAGAGCCATCTTCATCCACTTCCCAGAATCACAGTCCATCAGAAGTGTTGCAGTGCTCAGCACGAAAATCAAACTTTTCCTAAAGGACTCAGCCCTTTTCATTGCACCTTTAAGATGTTTCGCCGCAGGACCCTCACTGCTTCTAATACTTTCAAAAATTATTTTCTGAAGCGGGTATTTATAGCTTCATTGGTAATGCGTATTTCTTTTTCTTTCGGAAGAGATTTCATTTGAAAGTACTTTCAGAAAGTTCCCACAAGGGATTCGCACGTCTTTACTGATCAACACAAAGGGGTCAACTATGGGTGTCAGTTGAATTCATCCAACCTTTCATGCACCACATCTATTTCTACAAGGTTCTACAATGTAGTGTTGAAAAGCACAATGAATTGCTGTTGAGCTGATAACCGAGAGAGTATTCTGACTGGGCAAGGATCCCATGTCGAAGTGGCCGTTTGAAGTGAGGCATGTACTATTACACGTGGTTCCGAATGTTTATTTCAAATCTGCTTCCAAATTTGTCGAACCACTTGCTGAACGGAGGTATGGGGTGGTTTCAAGTGAAACAACATAAGCGAACACATGCATATTATATGGATGAATGAGGTTTTTCGGCGATGACTTGGCGCAGTGGTATGGGTTACATTTTATGAGCGGCAGACTATGGCACGAGTTTTGTGGGGAGCGACATATCTACACTATGGTTCCTTCTTTGCGACCCAGAAACTCATTTTATTTTTGATTTTATTGCCACTTCATTTTTCTAAATTCTATATTAACAGCCGGATAACTCTGAACTTAGCAACTTTAAGAAACAACTGCTTTTGTTGAGGTAAAGGGGACTGGATGGCTTCATGACTTTGAATGGTTTCCACGAAGGCTATCAGCAATGTTTGGTGAGCCCGTAGCCGCTACGCAGGATCAGAAAAACTCTAGCATCTCTAGCATCAGCTGTCTGCTCATCGCATGGGCTGCTTTCAAACTTCAACAGCCAACGCAACCACCGTGCGTTCCTCCGTCCGTCGCGTACGTGCGAGCGACGTTAGCCACTTGCTGACAACATTGGCACGTGATACATCGACGTCCATTGTTGGCTAGCGCCTTCGTCGCTCGCACGCACGCGGCGGACGGACGGACGCACGTCGGTCGCGTCGTTGAAGTCTGAAAGCGGTGATGCGTTTAACTCGCCCAAATCTCCAAAGTCCTCGAGTCTTTTGCCGCTTACAATTTCTGAGTGTGCTTTGCCTTTAGGAACAATTTAATCAGCATTTCACATTGCGCTGCACAACAGTCAAAAGGTCGTAGAACGAGATAAATCGAAAAAAACGAGTTTTTAGGTCTGAAGGAAAAATCATATCATGTAATACAAAAAATTTTGTTTCCCGTAAAACACGACCCATAGTCTCTCGCAGAGGAATCAGCATCTGAAAATACGTCCATCAGTGCAGGTCTCATTTCGAACAGCCGCTTCGACTTCGACAAGNAGACTTGGAATTCTCCCCTTGTCGGGTCTTCGAAAGATTTTTTCTCTGTGTTTATGCATCATGAACTTTGTCTCGATTTTAGTGGCTACAATTTTCACGAAGATTTTCTTCTTAAGACCCTACTCTGCAAGCTCTTTCGAAGATCATGTTTGAACTTCGTTTTTCGTGGCGAAATACTTTTAAACTTTTAAATGAGCTGTCTTCAACAGAATGTCAAGGTAGCTTTCAGAGTCCGCCGGTAGGCCTTGCGAGCGAGCTGGCGCGCGTGCTGACCGGCCGGCCGGCAGCGCTAGCCACTTGTTGAAAACAATGGATGCCGATGGATCGGGTATGGGTACATTCACCCAGAACTGGATGGTCGCGGCAAACCGCGCGGCGAAATTAGTGGTGATGAAAACGGCTTTGGCGCTTGTCATTGGGGTACGGGTTTCGAGTCGATTGGATGTGTAGGGCCAGCTGATGCTAGTTATCTATCCCACTTCAAATTTGTGCCCAGGTTAGGCGCCAGAGTCGTTTTAATCACCACGAATTTCGCCGCGCGGTTTGCCGCGTCCATCCAGTTCTGGGTGAATTTCCGTCCCCCCGATGGATCACGTGCCAATGTTGTCAGCAAGTGACTAGCGCCGCTGGCCGGCGCGCGCTCCCGCAAGGCCCACCAGCAGACTCTGAAAGCAGTCTACGGCTAGAGAATTTCGGAGCGAGGTGGTTAAATGGGGAAGAAGTTTTCAACAAAAAAACCTCCCCGACGATACTGTAACCGCTACTGAATGAAGCTAGGCGTAGCTCATTTCTCTCAGCTGGTGATAAGTTTAAAAGCTCGAGACGATCATCCTACGGTCGTTTTTATTTTAATCTCTGGGTGTGATATGTTGTCACTCGTCGCACCCTATCACTCGCAGTGACCCGCTGTGGAAAGAAATGTCTGAATTCCGAGTTGAAGATTGCGGCAATGCTCAGAATCATCTTGCCATGGCAAATCGCATACAAAAACACCTATCCGTGGTTCATAAGCCCTCGAGAAGCAATTAAAATCAACGTGTTTTAGGTAAAAATGGAGGTTGTTGAACGAATGAAAGGAAAGCGTATTATTAAACCTATCGTGTATGGTAATACTGCAACGCCGTTCGGATACAAGCGCGAGTCAGATCAACACACTCACCAATGGACGGTGTTTCTCAAGATGTTTTACGATGAAGATCCTACAGATTTTATTCGAAAAGTGCAATTCAAGCTTCATGACAGCTACGCGGTGAATACAAGAGGTGGGTTCCCCATGGTTGATAGTACCTTATTGCATACCTTAATGTTAGATAGTTCAAAGCCTTTTTACATGATAATATACAGTTCGCATTGTTGTCATTGTAAAACCGAGTCCAGAACAATTTTTCTTCGGAGGAGAAGAATGCTCTATTTTGTTTCTTTCGGGCTATGGTCTACCTAACAATTTTCGAATAAGAGTGAGGTTGAGAAAACAATCTCTTCATGATTCATTTTAGCGATGAGGCAACGAAGAAACCTGTTAAAAGCATCTTGGCTTCATGACTTTGATCAGGAATGGGTATTTAATCAAAAAAGGAGTTTTTAGATGGTTTGGAGTGAAACTATTGGTTGGAAGAGCAGTACTGTGAAAGTTTCACTCATGAACTCACATGCTATTATGGTAAAAATGATTTTTCCTTTCATTTTAGTTCAAAATTTTCAGTCTGCGAGAAACCTCCTTATGAGGTAACTGAAACTGGCTGGGGAGAATTTGAGGTTCAAATGCGCATCTACTTCGTTGACGTTAACGAAAAGCCGGTGAGTGCTTCCTAGTATATGAGATTGAAAAGCAGTAGTTTGATAATGTATGATCGAAAGAACTGCTTCCGATGTTCTGTTGAAAAAGGAAACCATGTGAGAATCGCTTTTTATTGTGCAATGTATCGTTTTTCATAGTTTTCTGATATCTATTCTTCTTTTATGTTGGAGATTCGTATACTAAACATTATCCCTCAAGCCAGTGACAGTGTGATCGCGTTGCTTGCGTAGTTCACCCTATTCATGCGATCCTGTGTAAATACTCTTTGCATTCTCTGAAGCGTTAAGGAACTTATGCACACACATTTACGGGACGGTTATCCTTCCAGAACTCACCTGATCTGTACGTAGAACTTGGGTCACTCGCAAGTGTATTTCATTGTACTTTGCTGATTTCTGAAGTTTCTTAAAGATCGAAAACTGAGGCCTTTTAATCTTTCATTCCCTTAGCCAATGTTTCTTCTTTCTTCCATTTCATTGATGCAGTCCTGGGGGAGAAACCATTTCGAGAGGACGATAATATTGAAATCACCTTTATAGAACTCTTGAACGGAAGGGACCTGACTTGTGTAGAGGGAAACATTCGTTCACGAAACGTCGGGAGAGCTTTTTACTTAATGTAATATTTGAATTTAGAGTATACGATTCTTCTTGGCAAGCTAGTGTGTAACACGGTTGCGGTTTTTTTGTTTGTTCAAAGCCGTGTATATTTTTCGATTTACGCAGTGAATTTGAGAAAACTTGTGGATTTCGTTGAATAAGGAGCATGAGTCCTATAATCATTCGAAATTACAAATGTGATGAAGTGCTGCCAAGTGGTGCGAACTATCACACCCATGGTCGGAGGCTCGAATCTCGGACCGATACACGCCCAGGTCCATCAAGCTTCAAATCACTACAGTGTCGATATTGGTCTGGACTCGTTTGGAAGGGTGAAAGCTTGTTTTCTGCATCGGCTGGCCACCTCACGTCATTGTAAACGCCGGACTCAACAGAACCGCCTTTATGATTCTCAATGGAAATGGAATCACGGGCGCATCCCAAAAAGGGAATCGATTATCATCGAAAGACTGCTTTTCATACCATGATCTAACTACTTTAACGGGCACCCACTGTTCACCAGTTAACATAAAAGACAGAAATGGGATGGAAATTAACGTGTTAGAGAATGTAGAGAAAACGATTCGTCAGCAATTATTACATCATATCCGTTTCTTCGTGAAATGCTTTAACTTGAAAAAATCATGTCAGACAGTCGATGAGTCGACAGTGGAACTACAGTTAGGAATTATGCAAGGAAGTACGTCACAAAGAAGTTATAAGATCTTCACATCCGTGTTGATGAAAATCCTTTTTCAGGTGTACATCCTCATAAGAGGCTTTTGATTGAGAAATCGGAATATTCAAACAGAAATCACATTAAAGCATAAGATATTCAAGTGTACCTGAGGTGGTGGCGGAGCGTTTATTTCGGCAATGTATTTAATATGTTAAGGTAACGGTCTTCCACTACCTCCGTCTATTTCAACCAATTGTGAACCTCCCAAATGGCACCACTCAAGTGATCGCTGAACACTATGATGAGATTGTAAGTGCAAACACTTTTTTTGTGGATGGACATTTGTCATGTTTTTTATATTCGACAAACCACCTGTTCCAGTGGACCGAGGGCGTTCAAATTTGGTAGGAGTAGAAGTGGCAGGACGGGAACACTAATGGCAGATGGCAGGCTCAGATTCTGCCCATAGGGGCGGAGCATGCGTAAAAACTTTTGATTAAGGGCCTGAAACGTTTAAACTTGGTGGGAGTACAGGCGGCAGGATCGGGATACTGTTGGTAGGAGATAGAATCGTGTCACTGACGGTAGGTGGTAGGAAGTGACTGAGCTGGACTTCACCCGAGGGGAGCGGGTTGAGCGTAACGTGTGGGAAATGAGCGTAATTTGGGCAAATATACGAAGTCAAGTGGAGTAATGGGGAATAAACCAAGTTACTCGACCACACAAGGCTTGAGCAGTACACCGCTCATGACGGGTGGGGCGCGTTCGAGGTGTGTGGGTGTATGTGTGTCTGTCTGTGTGGTGTGAGCATGCGTTTGTCCGGTTATGAGTGCCTCTTGGTCTTCTGGACCAGAACTTTCACTTCTGAGTAAGGAGCCGGAGGCCGGCCAGCTTTAACACATAAGGGTTCATTTGATTAAGGTGTTTATGTTGCGTACAATTGTAAACAGTTTGTCTAGGTTTTCCAAGAGCCGACAATACCGATGTATAAAGCTTTGACGGCTGGAGAAGGCAAGAAGCACGACAGGAAGAAATTTCATTCTGATTGTAAGATTCTCACTATTCCTTTTTACTTTTTCTTGGCTCTTTATTCGGTACATCTCCTTTGCCGCCTTCCTACAAATGCTGTTGTAGCGAGACCAACTCTCATTTGAAAGTAGAGCCATTTTGTGTCAAGCAGTTGTATGCAGGAAATAGTCAAAATGCGTAGAACTTACAGTGGATCATTCCTATATAAGGTTTAGAAGATCTCGAACTTGTTACTGTCCCTCAGGCAAAGTTGGGTTAGCACCAGGTGGTCCTGAATCAAATCCTGAACCTTTTTCTCCTGTCCCCCATAAAAGGGAATCCAACAAAGGTTTCATTCCCCAGTGCCGGTTGACAGGTACCATAGCCGCTGAGAGGGATGAGACCATCATTGTCTCCCTTGAAAGTGTCAAGTAGTTACAATAGTCCGAAAGCGAGTTTAATCCCATATTCTTAGTGAAGGTTGAGTGCGCTGTGCGTTTCGAGATGTAACAGTTCAACGCGGACGTTGACCTGTTCACTTATTTAGCAACTTTGGGGCAACGTTATGAGCAGAAAGGCTCTAAAGGTTTTTAAACGGTACTCGTTCTACCCAGGGTATGTGCCTGAGCCGTTTGGAGAATGGAAAACTTTGTGGAGCGTTTTTGACGAACTAAATAGAAAAGCATCCATTATGGTCAGAAACGAAATTCTGCCAATATAATTTCCTTTTTATGGTGTTGCTGCAAAAGTTAGTGCCGCTATACGGGAAGAATCTGATAGAATCTTTCATTTTTTTTGACCCATGATTGATTGAATCAGTACAAGCGATTCTGATTGATGCTCTTTCTGCCCCCCCNTTCCAGTGAATCCAGAGCGTTCAAATTTGGTAGGAGTAGAGGCGGTAGGGTGGGAACACTAGTGGTAGATTGCAGGCTTAGATTCTGCCCGCAAGGGCGGAGCATGCGTAAAAATTTTTGATTGGGGCCTAAAATGTTTTTAAAATTGGTGGGAGTGCAGGCGGCAGGATCGGGATACTGTTGGTAGGAGCTAGGATCGCGTCACTGACGGTAGGTGGTAGGAAGTGACTGAGCTGGACCTCACCCGAGGGGAGCGGGTTGAGCGTAACGTGTGGGAAATGAGCGCAATTTGGGCAAATATACGAAGTCAAGTGGAGTAATGGG